GGGAGGGGGTCTAGATTTCTTAAAAAGTGCGAACGTAATATGTGAACGTTCCCTTACATTGAAAATGCAATACATGATCTTTATTTCATGGACTAATCTATTAATACTGACTATTATTGCTTACTTTCTATAATGCCTTTAAATGTCATTTTAGTTTAAATTTATAACTAATTATAGTTTTAAGCATTCAAATTAAAAAGTTAAGATCAAGTTACAATTTTCCAACTTCACTTTGAATGTGAAAATTATATTTTATTATTTATGTTTACATTTGTGAATATAGGGGACAGTAGTGTATGAGGCGAAAGTCCTCCATCAGATAAAGTTACAAGTTAAAAGTTTCTTTTACCGCATTTAAAGTTACGTGTGATTCAATAATAACCGATTGAGGCGACCGTGTCTTCGATTGAAAATATTTCTCATTCATTACAATGACTTTCAATACATTTTTAAAAATATGTTTATTAAGCGAACAATTAATTAAGATTTAAAATGTAAGTCATTTGTGGAACAATGAAGTTATAAATCATTGGTCATCCATGTTATCGTCCGCCCTATGGTATTGTCTTTCTGTGGCCACGAAGTAATCCTCGAAGAAATGATACAAATACTCAAATGTGGGCCTATTTTCGGGCACTTCGTCCCAACACTTGAGCATTATATCGTAGTAAGAGTCGGGACACTCCACCCCTATTGGCTTTGGGATACGATATTTATGTTGTGACACCTGATCCAGAACTTCGCGATTTTGCATACCTTTCATACAAAGTCTAAACACTTGAGCATTATATCGTAGTAAGAGTCGGGACACTCCACCCCTACTGGCTTTGGGATACGATATTTATGTTGTGACACCTGATCCAGAACCTCGCGATTTTGCATACCTTTCATACAAAGTCTAAATTCAGTTATTTCTATACGAAATTGCATTACAGTGTAGACAATGACCTGGATATGGGACCTGACCAAAGGTGATCATTTCGTACAGAAGCACTCCATACGACCAAATGTCCGATTTTGTGGAGAACTTGCCGAACAGCGCCGCCTCGGGTGCCGTCCATTTGATGGGAAACTTAGCCCCCCTTCGGGCCACATACTCCTCCTCCTCGATAATACGGGCCAAACCAAAGTCGGCCACTTTTACCTCGTTATTATCGCCCACCAGTATATTCCTTGCGGCCAAATCTCTGTGCACTAATCGTATTGACTCCAAATAACTCATACCACTGGCCACTTGTGAGCACATGTCGATCTGATCCGGGAGTTTAAGTGCCTGTCCTTCGGGACTGTCTCTAAGATAGTCGAGAAGCGCTCCTTTGCTGACGTATTCGGTGACTATGAGTAGGGGTTGACCTCTGGAACAGACGCCATAGAGTTTGACGAGTTTGTCGTGTCTGCACCGACGCATCACAACCGCCTCATCCAAAAACGCTTTGGAAGACATGGTTCCCGGCTTTAGTCGCTTCACCGCCACCTCTGCCTGTCCTAAGAACTGGCCGTAGAAAACGGTTCCGAAGTTTCCGCTTCCCAGACGTCGAATCATTTTGAGGTCTTTGCGGTCGATCTCATCGCTCCGTCCGGGCGGTACTGTTCCGGGTCTGGGCTTAGGGCAGGGCTGACTCAACGCTTGGCACAGACCTCCCGCGTGAGTGCTGTAAAACTGGACGATTTCCTGCAAATAGCGGAACTCTCTGTTGGCCATCGAATACGTGTCGTTCGCCGTCTCTTTGATTTGATAGTGTTTTACGTTATGTTTGTTGACAACCATTGGATCAAAATCTCGTATCGATAGTGCATACGATTCTGTGAACAAATAATGCATTCATTATTAATAATAATTTTATTATTATAATTTATTATTTTTTAGTACATTGTTGTTCTGTAAATCTATAGTATTGTTGATGTTTAAACAATAATAATAAATTTGCTCGGTAATTAAAAATATCTGTCAGCAATTACATTTGAATCTCATTATTATAACAGATTAATGACTGAATTTATTGTGTTTCCCAACTGTAAGGCCAGTGAAATATAACACCTATGGTTGGCCTCCAATAACTAACTACCATTTCATTTATACAGCAAACGCTTTGAGCGATTCAATGAATTATTAACGCATTTTTACACCTAATTCTTAGTTTAATATTTTGCTAAAAATATTGAAATATAAATCAAAAATATTTTGTCATAAATATACCAAAAAAAACCCACGATTTTTGCCATAACTCCTATAATAATTAGTGAAACATTTGCCAAATAAATAACTATTCTGTTTATTATTAAATGATTGAATTAAAAATATTAGTTGTAAATAACAATAAAGTGAATTGAATTGAATGCATACTTAAAGTGTTGGGAGTGTTGTGTTCACTAAGTCTGATGAGGAAAGTGCCGATCGGGTATTCGCCATATAATAGTAACTTTTCTGCCGCTCGCCTACCGATGCATCCGTAGTACCAGCTTTTGAAACGCTTATATCATTAGTATATTTCACTTTATATTTATCTTTCATATTTTTAAAGTAAATATTTTACAAGTAATTAAACTTATAGTAAATACATTTATTTAACAAACACTACTGACTTATTAGCAAATAATGAAATGTTTTGAATTCACTATTCATCCATTTGATTGATTACTGATTTTAGATAAATAACAATAAAATTTAATACATTATGTTTAACAGAGCCATGACTTCAATGTTTTAATGTTTTGAGAACTTTTAAATTGTTAATTATTTATAAATTTAAATACAGTTCTAACATATAATTGTAAGCTTATTATACGACTCTACTTTGTATATGAAACTAATATTTTCTCTTTACTAAAAAACAATAGTTTTGAAAACATAATTAAAAACTAATAGTATTCTTGATTTAACTTTTAGCTAACATTTGAGTCAAGGAAACAATAAAATACAAGTGGTCTACAAGTCCTTCGTGTCCACAGCTATTGATGACAAACTAATGATTTATTTGGGAATCAATTGAAAATACTTAAAATATGACTATTTTAATTAAATAACTGCAAACATAAAGAATATTAAACAATATCTATTGAAACTTAATTATTTAGACCTCAATATAAAGAATACTTTATAAATTAAATGTTATAAAAATATCCATTTTTAAAAACTATATTTTAAACAGTCTTGATATTTATTGCTATCATTGAATGAAAATAAAAGTTATAATAAGTCTTACTCTTTGGACTCAATAGCAGTTCCGACATAATTGGCGGGAATATAACCGCTTTCACCCGTCTCTATGCGCCTGACTGTCCACCAGTCGGGATCGCTCTTCTCTATCACTTCAAGTTTCTCGCCTTTCCTAAAGCTCAGGTCACCCGAGTGTTCAGCCTTATAGCCAAACATCGCTATCACTATGTTATCCGCATTTTCCACCGCCACCGGAGTCGACAATACCCTAGGCTTTGGACAAACCTCTTCAGTAGGGTTACCGTTGGGTGTGATTCGTATGAGTTGTGCTGATTGTTGGCCATTGTCTTGATTTTGAGATGATTTGCCTTTTGTTAATGTATTGAAACTATTATTACTGGAAATAGACGTTTGTTTTTCCGATTTTTCGTCTTTGCTGTTATGTTTGTTAGAGTGTTTGTCCGGCTTATTGCCCATTATTATTATGTTTAAATGTTTATTAAACAAAGTATTAATTTTACAAACATATCATAACATGATTTAAATAAACACAATTAATGCCACACTAATTATGGCATAAATAAAATGGCTTATAATATGTGTCCGGATGTATGAGAATCCGCTCTGAAATACGTTTTTCTCTCTCCAAAGTGTCATTTCCTTAACATTTATGTCATAAATAGCTTTCATTTTTATTATTGATAAATCAATTGTGATTTAACTCAAAATAACATACTTATTGGTAAACAATTATTGCGTTAAAAACAGTATTATAATTGAATACAGTGTAAGTTTAGCATTGCTTTTGTAGAGATATATAATTATGTTAAGATATATTACGGGATTATGTATTATTGAATTTTACGAGTATTTTAATTAGAAATCCGTCTTAAAAATAAGGAAAATAAATTTTGTGCCAAATATGACACGTTTTGCCAATTAATAAGTCAATAACGATATAAACAAAAAGGTTATCCTAAAAGAGTACAAAATCATAAAAAGGCATGAATTTTAATGTGAAGTTTTGTTTTACTGACCGTCAATACCAAATAATATCATATCTTTATTTTTCACAAAAATTTAGTATATTTTTTGCTTTATTTTGCGGTAAACTTGGAAATAATGAAGAAAATTTGTAAAAATCACATAATTATAGTTATTTAACTTTTCTCACACTGTTTTATATACCAATTATAAATTTAGATTATGTTTTGAGACTATTAATTGGTGTCATTGGATATCAATACCACTTTATTTATGAC